TTCCAATATGATAAAGTCATCATTATTATATTGGAATCTCTTCAGTGTATAGGCAAGGCCACTACATGTTTCATCACTGTTACAACTGCGCCTGTCGCAAGGCACAATGCAATCATCGTTGGAGGGATCTCGCGCTCAAATAATTCGAGCTCTCTGTCGTCTAGTGATTGGCGTTGTGCAAGGTTGTTCGACGCCCTACAATCTACTAGGACTCGAAGCGACAGGTTTTGTGTCACTTCGAGTTTTAAGGTAATGAGTACAACCCCATTACTAGAAGTAGCAACACACAATATTTGATTGTTGGAAGAATCTTTCGTCAAGAGGCCTGCAAACTCACTTGACGTTGATGTATCCGTAGGGTGCTCCACATCTACTGACCCTGACCATTTTTTTGGCTGTCATTTACGTTGTAGCGACTTCACAACAGCGTCGGGACCACGCCTTAGACCCCGCTTGGCCGCTTGGCGGTTATTGTTTACTGCGTTTCGTGGTACCACGTCGGGGGCACTGCATTCGTATGCATAATGCCCTGTCTTCTGAATTCTATTGCATGTTTGCAATTCTTATAGCTGTTCATACGAGATCTCTCGCTCCCCGTGTGACAGAGGTCCATTGGTTTTGGGCCTCCATTTTCGTGTCGCCTCGACGGACGATAGGAATTATTCGCGTGAGCCTGTTTCACGCTGAAGTCCTCCTGCTCCGCAACCCTTATGGTCTCTTTCAGGGTGCTGGTTGCCAACCGGAATCATTAAGTTTCAACCATCAGTCAGACCCTGCGTGAACAACGTAATCAAAGTTGTTGGTTCATGGGTCGACAGTTATGCAGCTGGAAAGGTGACGTATGTACTGAATGTACGAGTGTACGTCACGTTTACCTTACTTGATTTTCAGGAGTTCAGAGCAAGCCCTGAACTCATCTCGCGGCGAATCAGATATTTGACCAAGCAGGGACTTAGAGGCTTCCAACGACCAAAAGGCGCATAGGTCGTGTAACTTAAGGACCAAGGCCCAAGTCTTTGTGGCCCTGCCAAGTTTGATTGAGCAAATACGACCTGCATTTTCTCATCGACGATGTGGCGAGCCTTTATGGCATCATCTAGTTCCACCAACCGTCTCAGTACAGAGTCTTTATAGGCTCCCTTTTACTTCGAGATGTCAATCTTTAGAGTCTCTGGTCGACGTGCGTACGTCAACCAGAAAGCAGTGGCCTGCTCCTGTCTTAACAGCTCGAAAGTTGTGCACTGTGTTCTCTCAACAGATCGGTCTGTTGATAATCTTGCTGGTGAAGCAAGGTTAATTTATTTCGCTCGGTATCAAGCTCATTCCAAATGAACTTGGCGATGTGGTGTGCTGTCCTTCTCGACCCTCGGAGGACAGCATTGCGCCAACGGCTTCTTGCCTCACCGTTGAGTTCTAACGTTCGACGGCGTCCCAGTTAAGATGACTTAAATGGGAGTAGCTTTCGTGCGTGGGATAGAAATTATCCCCCTCATTGTCCAACATGTTCATGGTCGTTGAAACGGACTACGAAGTGCTACCAGGTGTAACGGGGCATACCTTATTCAGATAACTGAATAAACCTTGCACTGTCAGCAGTGCAAGGGTGTGTGCGTCCGGCTACCTCACGTACACGTACATGTACATGTAGAGGACGATTGCTATACGGAGTAAGAATACTCAGTAAAGGTAAGAAGTAGAACTATATTCAGTTTAGCTAATCATTTTAATAAATCCCCATTTGATTTCATCCAACTATGTCTAAATACACACATGTATTGCAACAATCTGCTTACCACTCATTGTGTGCTTCTGTCGTGGCTAGACTTTATTAGTTGATATATTGGTCCTATATCAACCAATGAGCAGTATGTTACACCTGCGAAGCAATAATATCTATTAGGATGACTTTGTGAGAACATTGTGTTCGTCCTAACACAATATTCATACTTGATACTCAACTTACATTAACGATCATGTAACGGACGCACCTCGTTACATGACCGTCATCGACTTGCATGGTTGCTTGTGGTGCATCACACCTTCTCTGCAGCTATATGACGCAAGATGGTGAAAGCAGGATCGACGAAGCTTCCTTGTCACGCGCTATTTAGTCTTTCCACAGTGATAAACTACAAAGAAAATCGTTGTCGATCCAATAGCTAAAAGAAAACAGAGTGTAGCTGTATTGTTGCCGTCCGGACATTTCCATTCTAGTTTGCATGGAAAATTGCAATTCGATCATAAATTCTCATACGCTGAATAACATTCGCCGTGCTGTTGCGTAAAGCCTTCCTGCATACCAGTATGGAATAAATGTCTGTGTAAGCCTACACACCGTTCTGATCGACACTCTCACGTAGGCAAGAAAAAGAGGGGTGAGTAGATCGTGTCTACAATTCAGGATGCACACCGTTGTCTCTCGCTTCATTAGCTCGGAACGAAGCTGTGAATCACAAGACGTGGAGTCAACGGGTTAGGAGTAGAAGCTCATGATCTTGGTGACGAAGCTAGTACCATCCACAAGAAAGTGTTGTTGGAAAGGGGCACCCTTTGTCTGGGTGCCAAAAAACTTCACGTGCACTAGTACGTGCAGAGGAAGCTAATCTACTTGAACGACTCGTTCAAGTAAAGGTAAAAATAGAACTGTATTCAATATAGTTAAGCTATCAATATAACTTTAATCTTTATCTAACTATATTAAGCTAATTCGTCGTATGACGACAACCTGCTCACCACTCATTGCGCGCGTCTAGAAGCGATTGGTGGTAATCTATGGTTGATATGTCTTATACAACCAATCTTGGAGCAGCGCATGAATATTTTTTAAAAGGGGATACTAATTCTTGAACATTATCTATCTCTAATAATATTGGTAGAACATAGTCATGCTAGACAATATTCCTATTGACACCGTTTGGTGTCAATTTCATGTAACGGGCTACCCCGTCACATCACCCCCTCCTTAGCTATCAATCACCCATTGATTGAATTAGAATTGATCGGGACCGGGTGACCACCGTTGGATCACTCTGGGAAAGGGAGCACTTGTTGGTCAAATCCTATTCATTTGCCAATCTAACGCATGATTTCAAAAACCACGCGAGCTGCTACTGCAGCAGCAATAAGGGCGGCTGCACACATGCGTGCGGCCGCGGAAAGTGCCTTTCACACCTCAGCATCAAGCGATTCGTCGCCTGTTCTTGTGAATCGTCCACGTGGTGAGTCACCACGTGCGACGGTACATCCGCTGCATCTGCAGCGGGTACCTCAGGTCGTTATCACGATGAGTCTGAGGTAGAGCTCATCCATTCTGGCGAGTCAAGTGATGCTTCTGACTCGAAGGCGACACCTCACGCCTCCGGATCACCCGGGGCGGACACTGCAAGAGCCAGGTTGACTGGCTCTGGTCAACGTGGCAGTATCATGTCCGAGATCTTCGGATCGAGCGATTGTATGACGTTGTGATGGGGTTATGGGATTTATTTGTTCCGACAAATCTCCACCTCACGCAAGTCCTACCAATTATAGGTAGCGTGGTGATGGTGGTGATGCTTCGGAGCATCACCACGAGAGAAGTAATTTTAGGGATCGGGGTGTCACTGGTGTCAGCGCTCACGCTGGCACCAATCGAGATGCCAGGGACCGAATGTCCTGCGCCACGCTCCTCAAGTGGAGTCTCCATGGATGCCTTCATCCAAAGAGTTGGACCAGTTGGCCGGCATGACTCCCGAACGGGATCGAATCCCGTCGTTCGACTGTAGGAGTGCACTCCTAACTCTAGCACGGACATTATCCGTGCTGAGAAAGAGTTCTTCACCGATGTGTTCTTCAAATATCGGTGGCACAACGGCAACCGTGGTCGTGACGGCAAATGCTTGGTGCAAGGATGAAATGCCCTCATCCACAACATCAAGTGTATTGGCCGTGAGGCTTGACTCGCCAAATTGATGCAGCTCGCATCAGGTTCTAGAAACGCAACCCAGTCGGTGTACGATACAAGTTGCACCGGCTTTCAAGAGAGACAGGAACACTTTGTCTCTCGTGGGGTGATTCGTGGATAAGTTCCCTGGACAACTCGAAACGTGCCCCTAGGGAGGCCTTCCTCCCTAATGATCCCTACTGGAGGGCGCGCATCTCTTCCGAGGTGGCTGAAGGGATTGACACCTTGCAATCCCTGTACTCGCGTTAGGAAAGGTCGTTTTCCGACAGCCCTTCTTCGAACGCAGCGTGTGGGTCTCGTCGTACTGCTCGACGAGACCAAGGACATCAACAATCAGCTGGGCACGAGGCTCCTAGCTGTCCCACGCCGGTTGATATCTACGTCAGCGGACGAGGTAACTCGTCCGGACGCCATTCACATTGCGCTGGTTCAAAATACGCTCCACTAGGACGCGTTGAACACCGCTTGAGTCCACCAAAGGATGTGGTGGCGGTGGGAACACCTGATCCGGCTCGAGGGTCGGATCAACTTGACGTTCAAGAGCTGAACCGTCTTACGGACTAGTTGCAAGATGACCTGGATCATGAACGGACTCGGCGCAATGGGCTTGAGGATCTTGCAAAATATAATTACAATTCCTAACGCACGATCGTTCGAACGATCGTGACTCTTTTCACTCGCGCGAATTGAGAACGAACGTTCGACTCGTTCTCTTCGTGAAGAGCTGGCTGTAGCTCGTCGAGACATCGCTGAACTACGTGAACATGTCGCTTCGCTAGTCAACCAGACTGGCTCGTTGAAACAGGACCACTCGAAGGTGGTTTCGGCTCTCGACCGCGGAGGTGTTCTTCGCATCTCGAAACGGGCTCGTACTGATAGTACGGGCGGAGACGACCGACATAAAACGTAGGATGCGTACGCATCTTACGAGGCAGTTCAATCGTGTATGCGTTGCCCATTCGGCGCAACACACGAAATGGATCGATGTACCTGGGCAAGAATTTACTGCTGCCCACGTTTGTCACTGCGTGTTTCGGTAAGTTTACTGTAGACAGTAAAACTAGGTCTCCTTCATCAAATGAAAAAAAACATTTGCTCTTCCGTGTTTGTCTGCATTTATTTTCTGTATGTCTAGTGCATCTGCAGTAAAGTATTGAACGAAGCGGACAACCGCTTCGCGAGTCAGCAGAAATTCCTCTGCTGTTTCATCCTTGTCAACAGCAGTACGCTTCGTGTGCACTGCTGAAAGAACGTTGCCTTCACCAAAGAGGGTATCATCGTCCTCATTTTGGCGGTCATTGGCGATGCTGAACATGCCAGCATCGTCGTCATCGTCATCATCGATATCGATCCCAACGACATCGGCATCCATCACGTCGACACCATTGTCGACGGGTGATGAGCAAGAACCAGATCGGTTATAGTTCGAGCGAGTCCACCCCCCCCCTTAAACTAGAGTCACACTCCAAGAAGGCGGGTAAACGTGGATGTCGTAGGGCCATTCACGAAGAACGGTGTATGAGTTGCAGACGCATGCACCAAATTGTTGATGGCGAATACCGCCATCGGCAAGAACTCACTCCGAATCGTGAACGAGTGGACATACCCTCGAAGTATCTCTTCGAGAGCGCGGTTGACGCGTTCCGTCTGACCATCTGTTTCGAAATGGTCAGAAGTTGACATCGTCAAACGTGTTCCAAGTAAACGGAACACAGATTGCCAGAACTCCGATGTGAAGCGGGGGGTCTCGATGTGACACGAGTTCACGGGGCAACCCATGAAGTCGGAAGATAGTATCGATGAAGACACGCGCACAGCCCTGGGCTGTGATTGACTCCGGTACATCAACAAGATGTACCATCTTGCTTAACCGAACAACAAACACAAGAATACCAGTATTCTTGTGAGCGTCTTTGGGAAACCCGAAAAACGAAGTCTATCGATACGGACTGCCAACACTCTGCCGGAATCGTAAGAGGCCGCAAGGGTGCGCGGGATAAAGGACTAGGCTTCACTCGTTGGTAAACTTTCGCAAGCGCGAATGTATTTCCGCACAAACTCATACTGGCGGGGCCAGTAGAAGTCACGACTTACCATGAGGTAATTATTTTATCTACCGCGATGCCCACTTGTTGGGGCATCGTGGCAATCATACCTGATGCGCAATCGCATATGATTATGAGCCAGAAAGAGGACACGAGATTTGTCGACGTTGACTGCTGTTTAGTACGGCAGTCCATCACGGATTGAATACCGTTCGGTTGAAAGGCGGTTGTGAGACGACAAGCTTTTAAAAGCTTGACTGCATGGATTGGATACATAATCTATCAACCGCAGACTGGAATCATCTTCTGCGTATGCTTTTCGCACATCGTCGAGTAGATTCGATGACGGAACACTCACTGTTAGTGTCGCTACAGTAGGAAAACCCCTACTTTTGTGTTGAACAGTCGGCTCGAAATCGAGCCGACGCGAAAGAGCATCAGCGACGACATTAAGTCGTCATGGTTAATGATCGACGGAGAAGTTGTACTCCGCGAATAAAGACAGCCACCTCGCCATTCGTTGCGAGAGGTGTGGATTGTTTACGGCCGTGCGTAACGACGCATGGTCGGTACAATCGATGAAGGGCCTATCTCCTAAGAGATATACCCGAAACTTGGTCAGTGCATATTTCATGACAATGAGTTCCTTGTCATGCATTGGGTAATTACGCTCAGCTGCTTGTAGCTGACGCGATTGATACCAGACGACGCGCTCAACGCCATCTGAGTCGTACTGCATTAACGCGCAGCCGATTGCAAAATCGCTGGCGTCACAGACCACATGAAATGGCCTATCCTGATCTGCAATCGCCAACACAGGCGATTGCACCAAGCATTTCTTGATGCCTTCAAAAGAGTGCTGACACTCAGCGCTCCAGGAACACCTCTCGCTTTTCTTTAGTAGACGGGAGAGATGTACAGTCATCTCGGCATAGTTGCGCGAGTATTTGTGCAAATACGCTGCCAATCCAAGGAACTTTCGAAGTACCTTGACGACGACTGGCACAGGCCAGATGTTAATCGTCACGATATTTTCCGGATCAGGGCGTACACCGTTTTTACCCACGATGCAGCCAAGAAGTGGTATTTCTTTCGCTGCGAATATACACTTCTTGAGGATCGCGAACAATTTATGCTCTCGCATTAGTGTGAAAACTTCCGGACGTGGATTCTATGAACGTCCACGCCCGTCTTTCCATCCATAGCCCGGCTATGGACGGATACATCGTCGAAGTAACTCGGTGCGAAATCGCGCACCGGCCGCAACATATTTGTAACACATCTGTCGAACGTTGCGGGGGCGTTACTTAGCCCCTGTGGCATCACTAGCCACTCCCAGAGCATACCTATGGGGGTGCTCACTGCTGTGTAAGGGATATCCCGTTCACGCATGAGAATCTGATAAAATCCATCCATCATATTTATGGACAAAAAGATGGTACTTTTTGCCATACCATCTATGATGACGTCCTTCCTCGGTATCGGCGTCTGAGCCGGTACCGTTGCAGCATTTAACTTGTTAAATGCATGCACAATCCGCCACCCTCCTGTTGCTTTTCGCACACAGAAGATCGGAGAGCTATGTGGTGAAGTTGATTCCCTCACATGGCCCGCAGATAAACGATCGGCAAAGAACTTGTCGATCGCAAGTACTTGTTCACGAGGCAGTGGCCACTGCTTCATAACACAGTACTTCGAGCCTGGTTTAAGCTCGATCTCATGCCGAGTGCCTTTGTCCTTGAGCAGCTCGCATGGCACGGATTCAGGGAAAACATCTCTAAATTCGACCAAATCATTATACAAAGGATTTGTCTTCAAAGACTCCCAAGATTGAGACGTGTATCGCTCAACTCGTGTCTTTTTATCGAGGACACTCTCGCCCATCGATGAGCTACTGAGAACCCGTTCGTTCTCAGCAAACACTTGTGCCGACCGAATACCGGCGACGTACTCGTCCTTTGTGACGAGTACACAGATCTGCTTGATCTTGTCACTACGCAGATCTCGCAAGAATCTTTCAGATTCTAGATTTGGCAACCTAGGTACCTCCAAAGCTGACTTTAGGGGCGTAACCAGATCAACTGTATAAACGCCTACACTTGATCCGTCATTCACCTAGACATCCAATGTATCGGTGATTTCCTGGGAAAACACATCCGCAGGTGGTTGGAGATCACCACCCTCTACTTAACTCTCTGGGGATTTGTCACTCTCAGGAACGCTGGATTTTTCTTCCATTACGTGTACTGACTGTGGCTATACTACCACAGACACGTACTCTTCGATCGACTCTCTCTTAGTCGATAGGGTTTGCTCTACAATCGACCCTCTGATAGTCGACCTCGCTTCAGCGTGTTATTCATCCTGAACAACACTAACCTCTTTTCTCGGATGCATCCTTCTTGGCGCGCATCCGTGTTACAGTCGACTCGATCTCTTCGGGTGGTGAACCTTCGGCGCAGCCTGTATCTCTACACAGGTGCCGGAAGCTGGTTCCACAGTGTAGTGGCCTTCTACACTGTGATCTTGTGCAATCATAATCACGACCGTACGACAAGTGAGACCATCGCACTCACTCGTAGTACATCCACACGCTTGTGGACGCTCCAAGACGTTCATCAGATGGCCATCGGATGAACAAACGGCAGGCATCTTTACGGATTGATGCTGCCAGCTAACCCTTAGCTGGTACTTTCTAAGACATAGCAGACCGAGGATGACTTCAAATTTGTCATCCAAATTGAGTACAATGAAGTCATCATCGTACTGCTTTCCTTCTAGCGTGTAGTGGATTCCTGCTACACGTTTGCTCACTTATACGGATGCGCCTGTAGCAAGGCACACCGTAAATCCTCGTCGGAGGGAACTCTCGCTCAACATAGTTGAGTCTACTATCCTCTGGCGACTGGCATCGAATAAAACTGTTCGACACCCTATAGTCAACTAGGGCGCGAAGTGAAATTCCACTTGTCACTTCGATATTCAAAGTGATGAGGGACTCCTCATCACTAGGGGCAGTAACACACACAGAATGTGTGTTGGGAGCAATCTATGCCAAGAGTCCTGCGAATTCTCTTGACGTTGCTGGATCAGCAGGGTACTCCGCCCCTACTGACCCTGACCGTTTTTGACGGTCCGACTTGCTGTCGCGGCTTGGCAATATGGTCGGACCCACGCCTCGGACCCTTCCTTGGCCAACGGCGGTCATCACGTCCTGTTTTCGGACGTGTCGCAGTGCTCGGGACACTACACTCATGAGCGTAGTGTCCCATCCTCTGACAGCGATGGCATCTTGCCGTTCGCTTGTGACTCAGAGAGCAAGAGTTCTCGCTCTCGATGTAACAGAGGTCCATTGATTCGGGACCTCCTGTTTCCTGTCGCTCGTCGGACGATAGTTGGACGAGTTAGCCTGAGACTTTCTCATGCTGAAGTCTTCTTGTTCCGCATACACTATCGCCCTTTACAGCGTATGGAAGTCCTCTTGGAACATGTAGGTCTTCACCGGCCCATCCACAAGGCCGTAGATGAACACGTCGATGAGCGTGTGATTATCAACAGGGTTCTCTGTAACGATAATCGCAAGATAGCGCAGGTGTTGTGCGTAAGCGTGCACATCACGCTTACCTTGCTTGAGCCTCAAGAGTGCAGAGCGTGCTCCGAACTCGGCTCTCGGCGGCTCAAACGTGTCTTTAAGACGAGACTTCAAGATATCCAATGACTCAAACCCTTTTGGGTCGTGAAGCCCGAGCCCTAAAGCCCAAATCTTTGCTCGTCCTGTCAGATTTGACAGGGCGAAGGTGACTTGCATCTCGCCACCCTCGACGTGACGGGCTTTATAGCATCGTCTAACTCGACGGACCATCTCAAAAGGGAATCTTCATCTGTTCCCTTGTACCTCGAGATATCAATCTTCAAGGTTTCGGGTCGACGCGTGTGCGTCGGCCCGCCCATCTACTGATGAGAGCCTTGCTCTTGTAGCAAGGCTATCTTCTGTCTTTCGACTCAAAGTTCCCGTTGTAGGAAATTTTTGATAGCAGCATGTTGCTGGTCTCTGCTTAGAGACTTCAACATACCACTGATGGCGGGTTCTCCCATGAGCACACCCATGCAGCCAACTATTTCCACTCTGAGTCACTCAGATGGGAGTAGCCTTCACGTGTGACGTGAAACCTGTCGTATTCTACTTCCAACATGTTCATGTTGGACGGACAATAAGTAGTCTTTGGACGACCACTAAGTGCTACCAGGTGTAACGGGGCACCCTCTGTTTGGGGTGCCACAAAACTTCACGTACACTAGGACATGCCGAGGAAGCTAATCTACTTAAAAGACTCGTTCAAGTAAAGGTAAAAATAGAACTGTATTCAATATAGTTAAGCTATCAATAAAACTGTTATATTTACTTAACTGTATTAAACTACGTCGTCGTATGACGACAACCTGCTCACCACTCATTGCACGCGTCTAGCAGCGATTGGTGGCAATCTATGGTTGATATGTCTTATATCAACCAATCTTGGAGTAGCGCATGAATATTTCTTAAAAGGGGATACTAATTCTTCAACATTATCTATCTCGGATAGTATTGGTTTTATATTGTCATGCTGGACAATATTCCTATTGACACCGTTAAGTGTCAATTTCATGTAACGGGCTACCCCGTTACAGTTTTATTTGTATAAACTCGTGCTGTCGAATTGTCTGAAAGCCTAGCCGATAACCCTTAATCAAACGAGTGATTTCAAGTATGCGAAGATAACCTCAAATTCTACAAGCTGCGTCGTCACACGTTTTAAGCACTACCGCGTCGGCAGTACGTAGCCGTTGAAGTGAGTGTGCATTATGAAACTAACGCCACACTGCATTTCTGTAACGGGGCACCCTGAAGCTTGTAATGGTGACAGTACAAGCTACTTATTCTGATGACAGAATAAGGCGGTGCCTCGGAACTTCACGTACACTGGTACGTACAGAGGAAGACGGTAAGAAGAAACGAGTACTTGGTTAAAGTAAAAAGTAGAACTGTATTTAGTATAGTTAATGTCTGCAATAAGTCACTATTTATCTTCATCTAACTATGTCTGAATACAAATGTGCATTTCAACTATCTGCTCACCACTCATTGCGTGCGTCTGTCGTGGCGCGTCTTCGTTGGTTGATATAATGGCCTATATCAACCAATTAGGAACAACTCGTAAGTGCTACAGAATATTTGTCCTTATGACAATATTCCGAGAATATAACTCTTATAGTTATATTCTATTAACAATTTCTCATAAATTGTTATGTAACGATTCACCCCGTTACATCACCCCCCCTTAACCATCAGTCACTTTAGTGACTGATTGACTAAATGGATACTCGTCCCAAATCATTTGGGACGGGGTTTGCACTTGTTGGTCCGAGTCCACTTTCCAACATCTCATCGCATGGTTAAAAAGCCCATGCGATGCGCGAGCAAGGCCGCCGAGAGCGCGTCCGCACGTCTCTGTGCGGATGCCGAAGCAGAAACCACAGCAACCGATGTCTCATCGGTTGCCGAAGCGACTCAGCCTGTGTCACTTGGTGATGCAGGCGCTGGTCATGAAGACACTCATGTCTTTACAGAGTATGAGCTCGTTGTCTCATACTCTCCTGATACGGAAGACGGATCCGAATCGACGGCGATCGAATCCAAGCCGCCTGCCAAGCGTGGCATGGGTGATGCTATGCGTCGTAGCATCTTCAGTTCATCTGATGAATCAGATGAACCATCGCCGAAGCGAAGGCGCTCGAGGTCGCGAGACTCGGGCGCTAACAGTGGTGTCGGTTCTCCTATGGACACCACTTCGCAACGAGGTGCCAGTCCTTCTGTCGGCACGTCGCAGGAAGAGCGGGACCGCAATGTCTTGCGTCTCGCTCCTGAGAAGAAGGCATGGATGCCTCCTAAATCTGTCATGGATCACTTGTCGGCGACGACGAGTAATCGTTATCGAACACGGTTGTTCGATTCGTCAAGGATCCATCACTTTGACCCCAGCGCAAAAACTATCGCGCTGAGAATGAATTCTTCATCGATGCTTTCTTTAGACATCGATGGTACAGTGGGAATCACAAGCGTGATGGTCCCTCACTACTTCAAGCGTGGAACGCCTACATCCATAACCTTGAGGATGTAGGTCGTGACGTTTGGAACGACAAACTTATCAAAGCTCGTGATAAGTTTGAAAAGCGAACCCCGACAGGTGCACGCTACAAGCTGCATCGTCTGTCAAGGAGGGTGGGTTACCCTGTCTTTCTTGGGGAGACTCGTGCCCATGTTGTGTGAACAACTCTGCACGAGCACCTAAGGAGGCTTACCTCCTTACTAGCCCGTGGTGGCGCGTACATATCTCTACTGAGATGTACGAAGGGATTGAAAACTTGAAATACCTTTACGACCGTGCCGGGAAGACTTTCTCCAGCGGTCCTTCTGCGGCATAGGATGTGCCGCGTCGTACTGCTCAACCAGACCCAGCACGTCGATCATCAGTTGGGAGCGGGGCTCCCAAGTATCCCAGGACGGGAGATAGCCGCGCCACCGGACGAGATAACTCGTCCGACGTCCGTTCACGTCGCGGTGGTTCAACAGCTGCTCAACTAGATAGCGCTAGCCACCGCGAGAGTCCTCTCCTGGAGGTGGAGGAGGAGGAAAGACGCTCTCCACACGATCGTGGGGATCCGTGTGTTCCCGAGAGCTTCTTTGATCGCGTAACGCAAGGGTTACGCGTTGATCTCGAACATGAGCGGGACAGGCGTCTCCAAATGGCGGACACTGTCTCGAAGCATCGAGCTGAGTTTGCCTTTGCTCAGCTTGAGAACGAGAGAGATCTGACATCTCTTCGTGACGAGCTAAGGGTAGCTCGTGGGATTGTTGATCGGTCTCGGGATGAGATAACTGCTCTTCAGACCCTTGTCGATGCCCACCATCGGGAGCACAAGGCTCTCTGCGAGATGCTTGAGCGCAAGGGCGTTCTTCATCGGAAGAAGCAGCGTACTGATGGTACGGCTTAAGCCGACCAACGTAAAACGTGGGATGCGTTCGCATCTTACGTGGCAACTCGATCGTGTATGCATTGCCTAGGCGGTGCAATACACGAAATGGGCCGATGTACTTGGGTAGTAGTTTACTGCTACCCAAGTTAGTCACTACATGCTTTGGTAGATTAACCGTAGACAGTAGGACTAAGTCACCTTTATTAAATAAAAGAGTGTTTGCCCTTCCATTCTTGTCAGCGTTTAGCTTTTGCTTATCCACCGCTTCGGCGATGGAATCTTGCACAAAACGGACTACCGTTTCACGATCCAGTATGAACTCATCTGATGACTCGTTAGCTTCAGTGCGCTGTGAGTGCACTGCAGCAACATCAACCTTTTCTTCAGTGAGGGTTTCCGCACTCTCACTGGCATCATCTTCTTCGATATCGATGTTATCGATATCGGCATCAAACGCAACGACCTCTTCGTCAGAGCGTGATGAGCGTGAACCAATTCGGTTTTTGCTCGTGCGAGTCCCTCCCCCCCTTAAATCAGAGTTACACTCTAGTAAGGTGGGTACACGCGGATGGCGCAAGCCATTCACGTAAAACGGTGTATGTGTCGTGGACGCATGCACCGAGTTGTTAATGGCAAACTCTACCATTGGCAAGAACTCACTCCAACTTTTAAAGGAGTGTACGTATTCTCGAAGTATCTCTTCGAGGACACGATTGGCACGTTCCGTCTGACCATCTAACTCGGGATGATCATATGTAGACATCTTCAAGCGCGTTCCGAGTGATTTGAACACGGAACGCCAGAAATCAGCAGTGAAGCGTGGATTTCTGTCTGATACGAGTTCACGGGGTAACCCATGAAGTCGGAAGATGGTGTCAATAAAGACACAAGCACAGCCACTTGCCGTGATTGTCTCTGATACAGCCACAAGGTGCACCATTTTTGCTGAATCTGTCAACGAATACGAGAATACCCGTATTCCCGCGTGCGTCTTTGGGTAACCCGAAGACGAAATCCATTGAGATGGATTCCCAGCACTCAGCCGGAACCGGTAGAGGCTGTAAAGGTGCACGCAGTGAAGGACTTGACTTCACTCGTTGACAGACTTCGCATGCGCGAATATACTTTCGCACAATCTGATACTGGCGGGGCCAGTAAAAGCCTCGACTCACCGTGAGATGTGTTTTCTCCCGGCCACGATGTCCTCCTATAGGAGCATCGTGATACTCGAACATGATCCGCAAACGCAGATCAGTATCATCTGGAATGACAACACATGGTGTGTCACCAGAAACGGCTGTATAATACAGTAAATTGTTGCGAGTAGTGGATCGATCTGATGCAGATCGATACGCAGACGAAAATCGTTTCAACGATTCTCTAGATGGCTGTAAGAGATGTGTCAACAACTTCACAATCTCACCATCTTGGGCATATGCCCGCCTCACATCATCATACAACGTTGTAGATGGGACTGAGGACGTCATAACCGCAACAGTGACTGTCTCACTGTTGGGTTTCACGACTGGTTCAAAGTCGGGACGACGTGATAGTGCATCAGCGACGACATTAAGTCTTCCTGGTTTGTACTCGACCGTAAAGTTGTATTCTGCAAAGAATGACAACCACCGCGCCATTCGTTGTGAAAGGTGCGGGCTGTTCACTGCCGTGCGTAATGACGCATGGTCAGTGTAAACAATGAAGGGTCTATCTCCTAATAGATAGACTCTGAACTTCGCGAGTGCATACTTCATGGCAAGGAGTTCCTTGTCATGCACTGGATAGTTCCGCTCAGCTGGTTGCAGCTGACGCGACTGATAGCAGACGACGCGTTCAACGCCTTCAAGATCGTACTGCATTAATGCACAGCCGATTGCGAAATCGCTGGCATCACAGACCACATGAAATGGCCTGTCCTGATCGGCTATTGCTAGGACTGGGGATTGTATAAAGCTCTGCTTGATACCATCAAAGGAGCGCTGACATTCAGCGTTCCATAACCACCTCTCGTTCTTTTTCAACAAACGAGAGAGGTGCACAGTCATCTCGGCGTAATTGCGTGAATACTTTTGCAAATACGCCGCTAGTCCAAGGAATTTTCTAAGACCTTTGACATCGACCGGCACAGGCCAGTCGGTGATCGCCTTGATCTTTTCGGGATCATGACGTTCACCGTTCTTACCAACGATGCACCCAAGAAGTGGTATTTCGCTTGCTGCAAATATACACTTCTTGAGGTTTGCATACAATTGATGCTTTCGCATGATTGTAAGAACCTGTCGGACGTGGTACCTGTGAACCTCAACATCCGACTTTCCATCCATAGCCCGACTATAGATGAATACGTCATCGAAATAACTTGGCGCGAATTCTCGTACTGGTCTCAACAGATGTGATACACATCTGTTGAACGTGGCAGGGGCATTGCTAAGCCCTTGTGGCATTACTAACCATTCCCAGAGCATGCCGCTAGGCGTGCTAACTGCGGTATAGGGTATATCCCGTTCTCGCATAAGGATTTGATAGAAGCCATCCATCAAATCCATGGACGAAGAGATGGTACTCCTTGACATACCATCAATGATTACGTCCTTCCTCGGTATCGGCGTCTGAGCCGGTACCGTTGCAGCATCTAACTTGTTAAATGCATGCACAATCCGCCACCCTCCTGTTGCTTTTCGCACACAAAAGGTCGGAGAGCTATGTGGTGAAGTTGATTCCCTCACATGGACCGCAGCTAAACGATCGGCAAAGAACTTGTCGATCGCAAGTACTTGTTCACGAGGCAGTGGCCACTGCTTCATGACACAGTACTTCGAGCCTGGTTTAAGCTCGACCTCGTGTCGAATACCTTTATCCTTCGGTAATTCGCACGGAACAGTTTCAGGGAATACATCCTTGAATTCAACCAAATCTTCATAGAGAGGATTTGTCTTGAGCGATTCCCACGATTGGGAGTCATATCGCTCAACTCGTGTCTTTTCATCTAGGACACTCTCGTCCACAGATGAACTACTGAGAACTCTCTCGTTCTCAGTAAACACTGTTGCTGACCTTATGTCGGCTACACACTCGTCGTCAGCGACGAGTACGCAGATCTGCTTGACTTTGCCACTACGCAGATCACGCAAGAACCTTTTATGTTTGAGCGTTGGCAACTGAGTGATCTCCGAAGTCAACTTCGGAGGCGCAATCAGATCAAGTGTATAAGCGCCTACACTTGATCCGTTATTGACTAGGACATTCAATGTCTCTGTCATTTCCTGGGGACTTATTCCCTCAGGCCTCGAAGGACTTATTCCTTCGGCTTCCCTGGGACTTATTCCAGCGGGTTTCGGGGAACTTATTTCCGCCGTATTTGTAACATCGGAACTTATTCCCTTAACTTCCTCTAGCTGTAGTTGCGCAACCACAGCGAGATCCTCTACGAAAGACTCTCCAGTCGATCTAGGATTATCGTTTCGCTTAACCTGAGCGATCGATTGTTTCTCTTCTAGATGTTCCCCGCTAGGGATACATCTTTGTCCCGGTCCACTTGACTTATTCGAGTGGTGGACCTTCGGCGCAGCCTGTGTTTCCTCACAGCCGCCGAAACTTTGCTCCGAAGTGTAACCGTTTGTTACACTAAGGTTTTGTGCAGTCGTACTAACGACCGCACCACAAGTGAGGCCATCGCACTCACCCGTAGTACATCCACACGCTTGTGGACACTCCAAAACGTTCATCAGATGGCCATCTGATGAACAAACGGCAGGCATCGTTACTGTTCGATGTTGCCAGTTTACTCGTGGTTCGTACCTTCTGAGCCACGGTATTCCAAGGACATCAAACGTGTCATCCAAATCCAATAAGATAAAGTCATCGTCATATTGGGTATCTTCTAGCGTATAGTGGATCTTCACTATACGCTTCATGACGGTTACGGATGCGCCTGTTGCAAGACGTACCGTCATCCTCGTAGGAGATGTGTCACATTCACTGAACTTAAAGTGACCATCTTCTAGCGATTGGCGTCGCACAAAATTGTTAGACGCCCCACAATCGACTAGAGCTCGAAGGGACAACTTATTTGTCACTTCGAGTTTCAAGGTAATGAGTGAGATCTCATTACCTAGAGCAGCAACGCACAATGTTTGTGCGTTGGGAGCAACCTTCAGTAAGAGGCCTACAAATTCTCTTGACGTTGCTGGACCAGTAGGGTGCTCCGCACCTACTGGTCCTGTCCGTTTTTTGACGGTCCATCCCGTTGTTGCGTCTTTGCACCAACAGCGGACCCGCGTCCCCGCCCCTTTCTCATGGGTGGACGGTCACTACGCCTAGTGTTGCGAGATACTGGACGAGGGGCACTACACTCGTAAGCGTAGTGTCCTGTCTTTTGACATCTGTTGCATCTCTGCAACTTCTTGTAGTCTGTAGAGCGAGCCTTCTCGCTTTCTACATAACAGAGTTCCATCGGCTCTGGACCTCCGTTGTCATATCGTCTCGGTTGACGATACGATGTCGAGCTAGCGCGAGCCTGTCTCAGACTGAAGTCTTCCTGTTCCGCAATGGATATGGCTTGTTATAGTGAATCTAGTTCAAGCCGGAACAGGTGAGTCTTGACGGGACCATCCGCAAGACCCTGCATGAACACCGAAACCAACGTGTGTTCATCAACCGGATTGGAACTTATACAACTCGTGAGATGTCGTATATGTTGCGCTTAAGCGTGCACATCACGCTTACCTTGCTTGAGCTTCAAGAGTTCAGTTCGACTCTGAACTCAGCTCTAGGCGGTTCAAACGTTTGTCTGAGCCGCGACTTGAAGACTTCCAACGACCCAAACGCACATGGGTCGTGCAACTTGAGCCCCAGTGCCCAAGTCTTGGCACGTCCTGCCAGATTTGATTGGGCAAATGCAACTTGCATATCCCCGTCGTCGATGCGACGCGCCGTTATGGCGTCATCCAATTCGACGAACCATCTCAAGAGGGAGTCCTCTTCGACTCCCCTATACTTGGAGATGTCAATCTTCAAAGTCTCGGGTCGACGCGAGTGCATCGACCCACCAGCAGCAGCCTGCTGCTGTATCAACAGTTCAAACTGTTGAGCACCCTGTTCTCTCAACAACTCTGATTGTTGAGAACCTTGTTGGTGAAGCAAGGCTACTTTCTCGCGTTCAGCGTCAAGTTTCATTTTGAATGAACTAGGCGATTGTAGCATGTTGGGCATCTCTATTGAGAGCCTCTAGCATGACGCTAACAGCATGGATGCCCATGGTTGAACCCATCCGTTCAACCGCATCCCATTCGACATCGCTAAAATGGGAGTAGCCGTCACGCGTAGCGTGAAAGCTTTGGTCATCTTCATCATCCAACATATTCATGTTAGATGTGAACGTGGTCCTTGGACGGACTACGAAGTGCTACCAGGTGTAACGGGGCACCCTGAAGCTTGTACTGGTAACAGTACAAGCTAGTTATTCTGATGACAGAATAAGGCGGTGCCTCGGAACTTCACGTACACTGGTACGTACAGAGGAAGACGGTAAGAAGAAACGAGTACTTGGTTAAAGTAAAAAGTAGAACTGTATTTAGTATAGTTAATGTCTGCAATAAGTCACTATTTATCCTCCTCTAACTATGCCTCAAAACAAATGTGTAAATCAACTACCTGCTCACCACTCATTGCGTGCGTCTGTCGTGGCGCGTCTTCGTTGGTTGATATAATGGTCTGTATCAACCAATTAGGAACTACTCGTAAGTGCTACAGAAAATTTGTCTTTGTGACAACATTCTGAGAATATAACTCTTGTAGTTATAATCTATTAACAATTTCTTATAAATTGTTATGTAACGATTCACCCCGTTACAATTTCAAACTCTTGAGACGTGTCGTGTCGTGGCCGGTCTCGGAAAGCTGTTCTTTTATCTGAGCTGATGGTCACTCTTTACTACTGCAACTTTGATTGGCAACCACTACGTCACACGTGTGTACGTGGCCTATTTGTATCACGTGTCACGGTCAAGTAAACGGTAAAATGTAAGTTTGGTCGCACGGACAACGCCTCCGGATTCTTATGCAATGACAAAAGAAGAGGAATCCTTCCGGCCCACCAGAGTGCTCTGCGGTCGACAACCAATGGATTGTAAATTACACTCGACCGACACAAAGTTTTACAAGATCGTGCTCTGCACTATAGTAGGAAGAAGATCTGCCGTCAGAAGTTTGTATGTCACGTGGCGGAACCTTACAGTTGATGGATCGCGCGATCGACTTGCTCACTTTTGTTCTTGCATGTAAGCACTGGAGCTATTTAATGTATTCAACACATAACTACTTCAATCCAACGAGGTAAACTGACGGGAAATACAGGGAGCACATATGTTGGTTAAGTCAGAGCAAATAGCCAATCAGCCCCGTCAGCCATCACTTTAGATGGTAGGCCCCGCGAACTATCGCATACGCGAAAAGAACCGGTCTGTACGACCCAGACGGACAAAAGTCGGCTCTCTTGTAACAGACTGCGCGTAAACGAGAGACGGGCCTTTTGACGCATGAGCTCGTAAAATACGAAGGTCTTGACTCTCGAGCGGTAAAATACCACCGGCATCGCGACAGTATCAGCTTTGTCGACCGACACAAACGAAGTCGGAATCAATCTCGAACTCCATATGGAAGAATGACTGGTAGACCGGCTTTGGCACTGAAAGGCGGTACAATATGTAGACTTTGACGAGAAAGGTACACCGTGTGATACAGGATTCCTTCCGTGAGAACAAACCGATCAGTCAGTCAGTCAGTCGTCACTTTTCAGCAGCCAAGCCAGTGTTGGCTGGTACCACTCTGCGTGATCAAGTCCACCGCTTTCCATGACCACCTATTTGCCATCATTTCGGAATTTTGCCACGCCTTGTTATAGTCCGTAATGGACTCTCCCCGCAAGTCTGAGAAACTCGTGGTAGCAGACCCGGTGCGTGATGGCCTGCCGTCCGCGATCTGGGATGACATGATCCAACACGAGACTTTCATCTACTTGTCGCTCATGTTCCTCAATGGATCCGTGCTTTGGGCTTATTACTCGTGTCTCAGTGCTCAAGACTTTTACACAGTCGAGTTCCCAGCGTCCGGCCTCGACTTTTCCTTCTTGACGACTCTGTGCAATGCGTGGCCAATGATCATTGGCCACGGGCTCCAAATGGTCTTTGGACTCGACAAGAAGTTTAGCCAATCTTTCCGCGTCCACGCTGGCTACTGTATAAACATTTGCATGGCCATTCTCATCATGGTCTTTAGTGCTATCGACTTTTCCAGTCAGAAGACTGGCGGAATCCTCGTGCTCGTGTGCTTTGGGTGCATTGGGGTTGGCAATTCGCTGTCCGAGGCTACGTTTTACACGTTCGCAGCGCTCTTTCCCGTCAAGAAATTCACAAACGGTGTGCAGATTGGCAACGCCTGTGCAGGCATTTTGAACATCACGGTGGCTACGGTCTTGCGACTTGCAGTGGGAGGCGTGAACCAGACCAGCAGCTCGACGAAGCTGAGTTTCTACATCTTCTTTGGTCTGCTCGTCATCATCTTGATTAGCGCGATTCTGCTGTATCGCTACTTGGTGACTTTACCATCGGTCAAGTTCCTCATGGACCGCAACGAGAACTCGGCCAAGGAAGAGTACTTGGCGAGCCAATCGGTCGGCCGTACCCTGCAGAACCTCGGTCGTATCTTTACGATCATCTGGATCCCAGCCGTCGCGCAGTTCTTCATTTTTTTCGTGTCGCTCGCTGTGTTCCCTGGATTTGGCTGTGCGGCGTCGCGGAACCTGTACCCACCGTTCAACAACGAAGCTCACGACCTCACCGCTTCTTGGTACTGCTCTCCCGGGATCATTGCCAGCTACAACTACGGCGACTTCATCGGACGCATTGTATGCACAGCAGCAGTGTATCGCGTGGTGACTATGGGATGGGCGTTTGGGCTGTCGGTTCTCCGCATCGCGTTTATCCCGCTTCTTCTTATGGGAGTGGCTGGCACGTCATTCTACGCGTTCCCGTTTGGCAGCATGAGTGCGTTGGTCTATAACATTGTGCTCAATCTGCTCATTGGCATATCTACAGGTTTGCTTTCGACTGTTACAATGGGCGTAGCGCCTCGAATGTTAAAGCCTGAGGATCGCGAATCGGGCGGAGCCGTCATGGTATTTTTCCTCTTTCTAGGGATCGCCACGGGCTCGACGTTTGGTTTCCTCGTCAGTGACCGTGAATGGCTCGGTCTGTAGAGCAGATACAAGAAAAAACTGCAAACGTGGTACAGTTAGCTCTGCATGTAAAGTATCACGTACGTTATGCTGGACATGATTTCTTCCAAAGCGTCTGGTCAAGTCTCTGTTTGCACAAATACTAGCAAAAAGCGTCAGTAACTTTGGCTCGAACAGCCACAATCAGTCGCTAAGGTGTCAGCAATATGGCCTGTCGATCAGGACGTTCCTACGATTTCTTCCAGCGTATCAGACACGCACAGAGTGTTGCTGCGCACATTTTTCTCCACAAATGTTAGAAACGGTAGTTTGCACATGCAATGGCCGAGTATTCAGCTATTTACCAGGTAAGCCTCACGAATTCGAGCAAGGACGTTTCCTCGTTTTCTTGTAATCAGTTGGCATGGAGTTCTCTGACAAGTCGGAGAAGCTCGTGCCTGATAACCAGGTCGAAGACGGTCATGATGGCATGCCCGAGGAGGTATGGGACGATATGGTCAAGCACGAACGCACGATTTTCTACTCCCTCATGTTCCTCAACGGCTCGGTGCTTTGGGCCTTTTACTCGTGTCTAAGTGCCCAGGACTTCTACGCGCTCGAGTTTGCCGACTCGGGACTGGACTTTTCCTTCCTGACAACGCTTTGCACGTCGTGGCCGATGGTCATCGGTCAGGGTGTCCAGATGATTTTGGGACTTGACAAGAAGCTGACGCAGGAGTTTCGTGTACGTGCTGGCTACAGCATTTTCATCCTCATGACGTTTCTCATCATGGCGTTCAGTGCCATTGAGTTCTCGAACCCGAAGACAGGGGGCATCCTCGTGCTCATTTGCTTTGGCTGCGTTGGCTTTGGCAATTCGCTCTCAGAAGCTACTTACTACACGATTGCTGCCCTCTTCCCGGTTCCCAAGTTCTCACAGGCTGTCCAGATCGGCAACGGGGTTGCTGCGATCCTCAACATCTCACTTGCTACCCTACTGCGTCTCGCCGTCGGTGGCGTCCACCAGGCCAATAACGCTACCAAAGTGGCGTTCTACCTCTTCTTTGGTATCCTCATCGTCGTTCTCATGGCAGCGCTGATAGTCTACCGCCGGTTGACAAAGCTGCCGAGCGTCAAGTTCTTGCTGGAGCGCAATGCCGCCTTGACCCAAGAGAAGAACCTCACGCACCAGCAGTGTATCCGTAAGACCGTGAGCAACCTGTGGCGCATTTCAACGATCATCTGGATGCCAGCGATGACTCAATTCTTCGTCTTCTTTGTCTCGCTGTCAGTGTTTCCCGGCTTCGGTTGCGCTGCCTCTCGAAACCTCATGCCTCCATACTCGGACGTCACCCACGTCGTGACGGCAAATTGGTATTGCGCCCCCGGCATTGTCGGCTCATACAACTACGGCGACTTGTTCGGCCGTCTTTTCACCAGTTCTGCTGCGTACAAGCTCGTGAACAGCCAGTGGTGCTTTGGTCTATCGATTTTGCGTCTGGCTTTCATCCCGCTTTTGCTCATGGGCATTGCCGGCACCTCTTTGTATGCCTTCGGCCATGACGACATGACTGCCATCACGTACAACGTGATCCTGAATCTACTCATTGGGCTGTCGAACGGGTTCCTATCGACTGTTACAATGGGCATTGGCCCTCGGCTCGTCAACCTCGAGGATCGAGAGTCGAGTGGTGCGATAATGGTGTTTTGTCTATTCCTAGGCATCGCTGGAGGTTCGACACTCGGCTTCTTCTTCAGCGACCAGGGCTGGCTCGGTCTCTAACCTGTTGGCTCAGGCCGATTAGGTACTTTGCTCTCGACTGTTGCTATAGCAGCTTGGCATTTTAGGAATCCAAGAAAGCATTACGCTCTGTTCGCGTGCATGTTGGTTTGAAGGACACGAACCAAGTACTGCCGAGTTTACCGTCACAGTTTCGACGACATTTTAGTTATTCGTCGTGTAAATATGACCGAAATGTCCACCTCTGACAGCAAAAAATAATAGGCGGCGTCGAGAATGTAAACTCTCATACTTGATTCACCCAAACCGCGAGTATGCAAAAAACACACACACTTACATGCACATTCACACACACACTGACGAATCAAGACCCACTAAAGCACAGGTTTCCAGTTGGAACAGTCCACTCGTGCGCCTGTTTCCCAAAATTTGTAGTTCATGAATTTCAAAGTTTCGCGCTCGCTCGCTCGCTCCTCCGCCTCTCATCATTTTTGCGACCTTGCCTACTGCAGAAGCGCATTCTCACGTCACCTCTGCCGCTGCCATTGCCATTCCAGTTCCTTCTCATCGCCACAACTGCTTGCGAATGAGCTGTCCACCGCGTGCTACAAAGACGCAGAGGACGCGCCACTACGACTCGGACAATAGCCAAGCCGCCATGGCGTCCACAACAAGTGAGACGGAAGACGAAATGGACACTTTGAAGTCGGACACGGTCGAGTACATAAACAAGGACCTCCTACACCGGGACACCAATATTTCGATTGACGCTAATATTTCGATTGACGCTAATAAAACCCACACTATTCACCATGACCAACCACGCAAGAACAATAATGGGTCCGTTGGCAGTAAACGACGTCGGGAGCCTGTCGAAACCGCCGCAGCGCTGTGCCAATTGGACGCCCATATTGAGTCCGAAATGGGTATTGTCGAAGAAATTTACTGCGAGAATTTCATGTGTCACCGCAAACTCCGCGTGGCTTTATGTCCCCATACGAATTTCATCACGGGCGAAAATGGTAGTGGTAAAAGTGCAATTATTGCCGCCCTTCAAATCTGTCTCGGGGCCAGTGCTCGGAGTACGCATCGAGGCAAGAGCATTAAGAACTTGATCCGTCATGGACATGAGGGCAATGCTCTGGTGCGGATCACTTTGCGCAACGATGCGGTGGGCAGCGACGCGTTCCGTCCTGAGCTCTTTGGGCGCAAAATTCTGGTTGAACGACTCATTCGTCGAGACGGGTCGGCTGAGTACCGACTACGAGACGAGAAGGGAGTGTTGGTGTCGAAACTGAAGACGGATTTGGAAGCCATGCTGGACCATTTGAACATTCAGACGGAGAATCCATGCGCGATTTTGGACCAGGAGAATGCCAAGCTTTTTTTGAAGGGCAATTCGCAAGACAAGTACAAGTTTTTCCTCCAGTCAACGGATTTGTACAAAATGAGAACGACGTACTCGAAGATTGACGAAGAGACGAGGAATATTGCCGAGTCGACGTTGAAGCGAGAACGAGCTAAGATTGCGACGTTGAAGAACGCGATGGCCGAAGCAACGAAGCAGTGGAAAGAGGCGCAGAGTGTGAGAAGCTTGGTTTTGTCTTGAGGTGGCGGCTGTATGTTATTGAAGCTCTAACATTGTTCTGAGACTTTGATGCGCAGATTGGAATGCTTGAGGACGAGTTCGAGGTGCTTAAGAAGGAACTGGCGTGGTCTTTTGTATGTGAGAAAGAAGCACTGGCTGCGAAGGTCGAGAAGAAGATGAAGAGAAAAAAGCGCGATGCAGAACGGGCTGCTGACGAATATGAAGAGGCGAGGAAAGCGGTAGATAAGCTGGAGCAGAAACAGAAGGAGAAAAATGACAAGCTTGAAGAAGTGAATGCACGCATGAGCGACAACAGTCAACGAAAAGGGGAAGTGAAAAACAAGATCCGTGAAGCCCGTCGCCCGTTGCACAACTGCAAGGCAGAAATCAAACAGCTGACGCAGTCCAAACAACGAGCCAACCAGCGGCTAGCCCGTTTGCAACACGACTTGCAGAAAAAGCGCGAGAACCACGAGGTGATGCTTCGTAACCGCATGCAGCGCAATGATGAAATGCGTGAGCGTATTGAGATGACGCAGCGCGAAGTACAGGAGTCCGAGCATGAGATCAATAAAGCCAAGGAGTGTGCTCAGGCCCGTCCACTCGAGCTGGATGAAGTGGAAAATCGGTACGATACTTGTGCTCGTCAAATGCGTGAGGCCGAGATGGAGGTGAACAAGATCCAGCAACGCATTAATTTGCTGAAAGATCAAAAGCGTGATAGTCTTGCGGTGTACGGCAACCGAATCCCGCAATTGCAACAGCTTATACGCAAGAATCGCCACCGGTTTGCTGCACCCCCTATCGGTCCGCTGGGTCTTAGTGTGAAGCTCCCCGAACGGTTTATGCATTTTGCCGTTTCAATTGAAATCGCACTGAAGGGTCAGCTGGGAAGTTACTTGGTGATTAACGGTAAAGACAAAGCTGTGTTGGAAGATCTAAAGCGGCAGGCTCGTTGTCCACCTAACAAAGCCAACATCATTATTTCGCAGCGTGCAGGTCGTCGTTACGACAATCTGCGTCTAGCAGAAGGGAGCCTTGCGAATCACGCAATTTGCAACATTCTTGAGGTGAACAACGATGACGTTTTTAACGCTCTCATTGACGTATGTAGCTTGGAGAGCAAGTTGCTATTCGACAGCCGTCAGATAGCTGAGGAAAGCGTGTTAAGCGGCTCAAGTGGTAACTTCAGAATGGCGCGGTTCGTGTCGGAGGTGTTCCTTCCAAACGGCGACAAGTTCATTGTCCGTTCTGGCAATTTGGCATTCATTGCCAACAAGCTACACCTTCGTAGCTCTATCATTTGTCAAGATGTGGAGGGTGAGATCAAGGACTTAGAACAGAAGCTTCATCGTCTTCAAGGGAATGTAGAAGCTTTACGTCGCGATGAGTCTCGGCTGCGGCGTGATCGTGAAGAGCTTCGCCACCAGATGAAGCAGCAGAATGACCGCATTGACTACTTGTCACGTCGGTTTAACCAGAAGCGTGCAGGGTTGCGCAGTCTTGAGGAAGAATTGTCAGACGACTTGCAGCAGCATACGCTCGATACCTCTGTGCTGGAAGATGAAGTGAGAGGCGTCGAGGAGGAGTTAGAAGGTTTCCGTTGTCGTGAGCAAGAGCTGAACGAGATTCTATCAAAGTCGAACCCAGATTTGGAAGGTCAGTTGCATGACCTTGAGGAATGGGACGCGGTGGAGAAAGAAATTGTTGTTGAAATGAACGAGTACCAGGAAGAAGCTGATGCAATTTACAAACGTCTGAGCGAAATGAAGGTACAGGAGATGACGTATCAGCGGGAGGCATCGACGCTGCGTGACATGGTTGTGCAGTGGGAAGACGAGCTAGCAACACTGCAAGAAGAATGTGAGGAACAGAAGCACAAGGCGCAACAGCACTGTGAACGAGTGTCTGTCACACACTCGCATGAGTATTATGGCAAGCGGTTGACCGATATCAAGCGTCAGATTGATCATGAACGCAGTCGGTTTCGAGGCATGGACTTGTCAGAGCTAAAGGATGACATGGAGGCCAAGACGATTAAGTACCGAAGCAAGAAGACCAACTTTGACAAGTTTCGAGATAACCTCGAGCGTATTCGGTCGATGCTGGAGGAACGTAAACGAGTGTGGCAGATCCTGCGGAAGGAGATCGCTCATCGGACGTCCATGGAGTTTAACAAGTTCATGTGCCTGAATAACTTTGCAGGCAAACTGAAGTTCAGGCACGACGATCAGCGGCTCGAAATTGCTGTTTTGCATAATGAAAAAGGAGCGTCGCGAGCATCGCAAGTGACGGACATGAAGGAGCTCTCTGGTGGCGAGCGATCTTATACTCAAGTGTCGCTGCTGCTGGCGCTTGGGGAGAGCATTGAATGTCCATTTCGAGTGATGGACGAGTTCGACGTATTTATGGACTCGGTGAACCGTGACATGACGATTCAATTGCTCGTGAAAGCTGCCAAGAAGGACGGCAAGAAGCAGTTTATCTTCGTAACTCCTAACGACCTCAGGTACGAGTGTACAATGATGGTTTCTTGACGGTGAACATGTTGGCATGTCGTGTTCAGATTGATTCATCTTTTTTCGTGTTGCATGTTGTGCAGTACGCTACGCCGCGATCCGATGGTGAAGATCCAGAAAATGAATCCTCCACGGGACCGATTGAATGCTGAGCAAGATTGACTAGGCATAACATAACATAACACACAGTGTTGCTGCAGCAGTATCAATAGCAGGAAGCAAAGCTTTGTGTCATTTCGCAAACAGTATGCTTTTTTTGTGCAATGTCCAGCAAGTCGCGGTGCAACGACGACGTACGCTGAGCTGGAATTTAAACGGCACTCAACGCGTAGAATTGCACTGGCCTGTTGCTCGTGCGACGTGCTTCGGCAGTGAACACCTTGTCGATGCTCCCTGTTTGTGCATCTACAGTCGGCTGTCTCTACGACTCCGCTTCCGTGAGGACTTCTTGGATGATCGCCGTGCACTCGTCGAGCTGCTGCTCGTTGATGACAAGCGGAGGCGCAAGACGGATGATGTTGCCGTGAGTCGGCTTAGCCAGCAACCCCTTCTTGGCCATGTTCATGCAAAGCTGCAAGGCGTCCGGCTGATTCGGGCGCTCGTTGATGATAATCGCGTTCAGCAGACCACGGCCACGTACACCTTGAAGCACGCTTGAGTCGAATCTACAAGCATAGCAGGTACAAACAAACACATGTGGTCAAGTCAGTCAACTATCCAAGGTCAAATGATCAGGTCAACTCGACGTACTTTTCCATCTCGCTCCGGAACTTGTTGCCAAGCTTAAAGGCGTTCTCAGCAAGGTTCTCTTCCTCAATGACTTTCATGGCAGCCATAGCGACCTTACACCCGAGCGGGTTGCCACCATACGTAGACCCGTGCTGCCCGGGCTTGATCGTAAGCATGACCTCGTCACTAGATAGAACAGCCGAGACCGGGTACATGCCACCCGAAAGAGCCTTGCCGAGCACGAGAATGTCCGGCTTGACATCTTCATAGTCCACTGCCAGCATCTTCCCCGTGCGTGCCAACCCGGTTTGCACCTCATCAGCAATCAAGAGCACATTGTACTTGGTGCAAATCTCGCGCACACGCTTCAAGTAGCCGTCATGCGGCACTACGACCCCAGCTTCTCCCTGGATTGGCTCCACCATAAAAGCTGCAATGTTCTTGCCATCTTTCTTGAACACTTCCTCCAATGCATCAGCATCGTTGTACGGAATACTGCTAAAACCCGGCATAAACGGCCCATAGCCGCCGTACGCGTTCTTGTCACTCGACGAGGACACGGCACTCAACGTGCGGCCCCAAAAGTTGTTTTGGGCAAAAATGACCCTGGCCTGGTTCTCAGCAACGCCTTTAACATCGTAGGCCCAGCGACGGGCGAGCTTCACAGCGGTCTCGCCGCCTTCCACGCCCGTGTTCATGGGCAAAATGCGGTCGAACCCAAGCAGCGTCGTCATGTACTCTTGGTACTCGCCGAGCACATCGTTGTAAAAGGCACGAGACGTGAGCGTAATCGTCTGGGCTTGCTCCGTCAAAGCCTGGACCAGCTTGGGGTGGCAATGGCCTTGGTTCACAGCCGAGTAGGCACTCAAAAAGTCATAGTACTCCTTCCCCTCCACGTCCCAGACCTTGCAGCCTCGGCCTTTCTTCAACACCACAGGAAGCGGGTGGTAATTATGGGCGCCGACCTTCTCTTCTCGCTCAATGTACTGCAAAAAGGACACGTGCAAACCACAATCGGACGTTAGAAAGCCAAGATACACACATAAGTATCTCTCTCTATGTATACATGTAACTTCAAAGGCAATTCATGTGGTTACTTGTTGAGAAGTCCAGACGGTGCGGCGCGAGAGATTGGACCGCGTGCGAGCGACAGGGCGGAGCTTCTGTATACTTTGGAAAGTCGACATGGGGCTAGGGGTGACAGTGGAGAACGAAGCTCGGAGATGGACGTCGCTGCTGGTAAAATGGGGAATGAAGTGGAAGTTCGCAGGCACCGGTCGAAAAGACGGCTCTCCGGACTTACGTGCGATGTGGTGACCAATCAACGGACAGCGTCGGGGGTTCGTGCCGCTGTTTGGATACTTCCACAATGAGGCATGCGACGGGGCTTAAGTACGGAAACGGATCCCCGGCTGATATTCAGGACCCTAGCCCGAGCCACTTCAACATGGCGTCCTCTGATGCGAAAAAAGAGCAGACAGAGCACTTTTGGATCGGTATTTTGTACGTGACATCGTCGTAGCTAATGCAAATGTACTTCCTTTTCAACGACAAGTGCGGCGTTTTGCTTGCGTCGTCCCCTTACCGTGTTAGTAAAACGTCATGGCAAGGTACTTGCGTCGTAAGGATACAGTAAAAGTCCCGTCCTGTGAGATGAGAAAAGAGAACCTCTTGCGAATTGACCAAAAGCGATCGTCACCTACGTTGTAAGTGTTGTGTGACTGCCCTTTTTGACGCATGCAAGTACGACCAACTTGAACTACTCAGCCTGGGCGTTGCACCAACGCGCGATACACGTGCGCGCGACATCGCAAAGCGAGCCACAAGTAGTCCAATGCTGCCGATTATGACAATTCCACCCAGTTTTAGACGATGATCAACCATGATCCACGCGTCCGTACAGCAACTGCAGGATCGCATCTTGTGGGTGGGGGGCGCGATACTCCTCCTTCTATAAAACGGACGGAGACGTGTCCATTTTATGTGAAAAACGCCCCGGCTGTGCATTATGTCGTCACCCGAACAGCCGTGCGACACGTGACGGAAGAATGGCATCATCCACTCGATGCACCGTCTGCATCCCCCGCACGCCCGAACGAATGTATCTGAGTATGCCCTACCGCCGTTGTATGCTCTTTCCAAGGTTCAACACATCCACATCGTCAGGAATGTATCCACCTATAAATATCCAACCCGCACCCACTGGATAAAATCCCAACACCAATTTAATCGACCACCTTTCGCGCATGGATAATCCGCCCACGCACGCGCTCGAGCACGAGGACGCGACGCATTTCCACGGTCTGCATCCCCTAACCTCGGACCTCTCGCCTCTTGCTATGCACGCGGACGTTCTCGCGGCCGCTGCCAACGCAGAAGCAGCAGCAGCAGACGGCGAGGACGACGACGTCCGGAGTCAGCGCACGCAGCACGACGGGCGTTTAAAAGCGTGCATTTTAGAAAAAGTGGCGTGGGAGAAACGATTACGTCATCTGCCCGAGACGGCAATGGACGATTTGGACGCGGTGAAAGACGAGGCAGATGCAGGCGATTTATTTTTGTCGCTCCCCGAACCCTATGGCCAGTTGTCGACGTTTCAGCGCGTCGTGATTACGTCAACACCGGACGAAGAAGAAGATCGCGAGACAAGAGACGTGTGTGAATTGATTCGCAAGTGCGTAGCGCTTCGAAAAAAGTGGATTACGGTCAACGAACTCACGCCCTCGTCATCACCAATGGACGCCCCGGACCATGGCCTTTCTGCTGCGTCGAGTCCACGGACCCATGCAAGCGGTGCCAGTAGTAAATTCCGACATCGGGAAGAAATGCCGTACCGGCCATTTGACGCGCCCGTGCCAGAGACTACGCAGCACGATGTCAAGATGGTAAATGGTGTGGTCATGGTGTATGACGACGCGGACGCTGGCGAAGCAATGAGTCAAGTGGGGACGATGGAAGAATACTATGATGACTTGTTTGAGATCCAGTGCATTGTGAACTACGGACCGATGAAGACGCTGGCGTTCAAGCGGTTGCAAGTGCTGGAAGCGAGGTTCAACTTGCACATGCTGCTGAACTCGGAGCGGGAACTCGTGGCGCAGAAAGCAGTGCCCCATCGTGACTTTTACAATGTCCGGAAGGTTGACACGCACGTGCATCACTCGGCCTGCATGAACCAAAAGCATTTGTTGCGGTTTATTAAATCGAGGCTGCGCAACTCGCCGGGGGAGATTGTGATTTTCCGCGACGGGCGCTTTATGACGCTGAGCGAAGTCTTCCGGTCGCTTAATCTCACGGGCTACGATCTCAGCGTTGACACGCTGGACATGCACGCGAGCAACACGTTTCACCGCTTCGATCGCTTCAATTTGAAGTATAATCCGGCCGGGCAAAGTCGGCTGCGGGAGATCTTTCTCAAGACAGATAATTTGATTGCTGGCAAGTATCTTGCTGAGATCACAAAGGAGGTCATCTCGGATCTGCACGCGAGCAAATACCAGCTTGTCGAGTGGCGTGTCTCCATCTACGGACGCAAGCACTCGGAATGGGACAAGCTGGGTCGCTGGATGTACGTGAACAAGTTGTCGTCTCCTCATGTACGATGGATGATTCAGATCCCGCGACTCTACTTCCTGTACAAGAAAATGGGCGAAGTTGATAACTTTCAGCAAATGCTCGACCACATATTCCTGCCGCTGTTCGAGGTCACACGCGATCCGTCGAGCAACCTGCCGCTGCATTACTTTCTCGAGACTGTGGTCGGCTTTGACAGCGTGGACGATGAGAGTAAAGCAGAACCTTTCCGAGCTGAGCGTGGTAAAA